TCACTAGATATGATGACAAAGTGCTCAATTTCTGTCAGTCAGAACTGTTAAAAAGGCTCTCTATTGTTCTCTCGTGTTTTAAAAATAGTTGTAAGCAGTTAGTAGCACTCTGTGAGTGTGTGTGTGTGTGTCCAACAACAATGTGGAATAAAGGTACTGCTAGTTGTCGTAGTTCTCCGCTTGACCTTTAACCTTGTGGATAAGTGAGGCACGCCTGTACCACTGTTGGCTATGTCTGTTAACTTGGTGATTAATGAGAGGACACCAAACTATTGGTGAATCAAAAAAGGGCCATCAGAAACTCTTCACACTTGGTGAAATAAGTTTAAGGATGGGGGAGGGGGAGAAGCACAATACTAACAATGTATTCTCCGGTTATGACCAGCATGTACATCAACATAATGACACATCTCTACAATGATCGGTTCTATGTTTGATTCTTACAAATATTTTATTTAACTTGTGATAATTCTGAAATGTCAATGTGTAAAATGTGTGTCTTCACTGTCAAACATGATTGAAAAGACATACAATTACTGCTGCTACAACTACCATGATTATACACACAAACTCAGGAAGGGTGATGTGGCAGGGGAAAAAAAAATTTAAAAAAGAAGAAAGAGGAATGATACAGGAAGTGAGTGAATGCAGAGGAGGAAAGACAACTCATGAGATAGATAGAGGGTTAGGGTAACAGAAAGATATATATATATATATAGAGAGAGAGAGAGAGAGAGAGAGAAGACCAAACAGACTGAAGCAAAGCAGCAGGTTTATGAAAGGACAAAATCAGGGCAGACCGACTAGATGATATGTGTATATAAACAAACATGCAGTAACATCACCAAACACACTCGTCCCTTAATCATGTTCCCACAGATTTTCCCCAAACATAACAACGGACACGGACAACTAAAATAATTCTGTTATTGGTATCATCTACTCACTGTGTGTGTGTGTGCACTACTATAATGATAAGAACAGTTGCTACAGCTGCAAACACACACACAAGCTTTCACAGAAAACATGCACGCTAGAGGGTGGAAACAAAGGGCAGAAGACTACACTGTGTTGCCCTCACCGGTTGAAGTACAAATCAACATGACACCTGCAAGCAGCCCTGAGACTCAGAAATAATTGAACATGCATCTTTCCTCATTCACCAAGACTGACATTCATGCATTCAGTCAACTGTTTTCCCCCCACAAATGGGAACTTCTGTAGCAAGGATAATAATATATCATTAACAAAAATTATGAAATAATTGGTTTGCTTTACATCAGGACAAACTGTCAATTCACCAAAAAAGTTTTATGATTTCCTCTACTTTATATTTTTTTTTTAAACAATATTACTAGCTTCACTGCCTGTTTCCTAATCCCCAAAATTATGTTAATATTACAAAGACAATATTTTGATAATTATAAGCTTTTAAATGAAATTAAAAAGTATCAACATAAAATACTTGCCACATTTTTGGGGAAAATAGTTGCCTAAATACTGGCTATCCCTCGCATACCTGGAGAAAAAAAAACAAGACCTACATACTGGTCATGGATGGTAACCTACTTGGGCTTTCCAGACGCTGCAACCAAATGTCAGTTGCTGAAATCATTGCTACACATGACATTACGTAGGCAGGGGCTGGGTACCTTAGCTATTTACACAACACCAATTTTAATTAAATGCTTACAGCTCACTGAGCTACGGGAATCAAAACATTTATTGAATTCACAACCTAAAACAATGTATAAATATATAAATCTACATATACAGAGACAATTGTAAACATAATAAATTTGCACTAATCCACTGTGTTACATCTAGAAATCAGACACACTCCTGAGTCAATGAATTAATATAAATACAAAGAAAAGGCGTGGGTTAGGATCAAAGAAAGGAGATCGCAACACAATGATTTGATACAAGCTATGTGAGTCGGTAAAAAATACAGATTTCACGCTGACACAAACCATGCAAATAGAATAGGAAGCTGAAAAAAAAAAAATTTTTTAATTGTTGGGATAGAACGGTAAGCACTGAAACAGAAGGAAATGATGAAATGCAACCATTCCAAACAAGGAAATGCCTGTTATTATAGCAGAAGGGGAAAGCATTCCAAACAAGGACATGATGAAACATTTATTATTAGGGTGCAAGGGGAAACCACTATAAAACAAAGACAATGAGCATGTGACAGTGACATTATGCATGCACTAGACAACTATCAACAGCACTGACGACAACATAAGGGCATGAAGACAGATGCCGAGTGAAACTAAACAGAAAATACAGGTTGAAAGCCTAGAGAAAATCAACAACATAGATAACAAGCATACATTTAGACAGAGGTTTAATTAAATTTAAAAAAATAAAATCACCCAGAATTTGTATGCACATGACAGATAAACAGAAAAAACTGTTTCTTTCTTGCCACCAGGTGCCTCGCCATCTTGTCTTTGTTGGGTCATGTGTTCCATCATCCATTCCTGTCTCCGCTTGACCTAAATCATCCAACTACTGCCGATATCATGTGTAGTGTGAGTGACTCCGAGGAGATAAACACAAACAATCACACGGAGGTCAAGAAAAAAGAACAATTTGTGAGTAAACGAGAAGACAGTCACATGGTGAATTAAGTTTAAAATGCTCAACACATAATGAGGCAGGCTGTCCTAATATCTTTAAAACAAAAATATATGTATATTAAAAACCAATGTAGGGCATGCGGGAGCTGCAGACACGTTTAATTAAACTCCATAAAATGATCACTTCTAAGGTGTTCAAACAATAAACTATCTTTTATTGAACACTCACACAGCATGGACAAGCAGGTGATAAACATATCAGAGTCCTAAAGCTAGGAGAACACATTAGACAGACGACATGCAGCCATCTGAGTCTTGAAGCTACCCACTGCTGCAGACACCTGTACATGTAATGTCAGGTTTGTTAATTTTTCTCAATTCTGTACAACTGAAAATGTGACATTCAACAGAGCTGTGAATGAACGGCAACCCTGTCTCATCCAATCTCTCATTGCCCAAAGCTCCACCCTAAAGAGAGATGGTATACGTTGTTGTTCTGATAATATTTCTTTAACCTTCTGTTTGCTACTGCAGCCTCACCATTTAAAGAGTATTACAAGATTGTAAAAGAGCTCTTTAGAACAAAGAACACAAAAGGTGATTAATATCAATAATAACTCAAGATACAGTCTTACAACTATAGGCAGTGAGTTTTCTATCCAAGAATGAGTTTTTGTGCAGATGAATGAGTAAAAAATGCAATAAATATGATGAATGATGGAACATTGAGACTAGAAACTGTGCAGCATGTTAAAGCAATCTTGTTTAAAAAGTATTTAAATATAAGAGAATTAATGCTGGGATCGCTGCAAACATCTGTTTGTGAATACCGATTACAACGAGTGGCGGATTGTGGGCAGACACTGCAGCTTTGCACGTGCTTATACAACAGTCGAACAGTCTTTTCAACCTGTTATGCACACATACGAGATAAGAAACTGCAGTTCCTCAGTACATACCCAGGGGTTGCCACTGGTTATTAAATAGGAAACATTAAATCTTTTATGTCTGCAGATGCTTTAATGACTACAAGTGAGACAATGAAGATCTTGTAAAGCAAAACGAGAATAAATGGGAAAACAATTACCCCTTAAAGTGACAAGTAAATAATTAAGATATATATTGCTTACAGTCAGAAACAATGAGACCATTTCGAAGTAAAATAATGTTATTCATAAAATATTCACAGCCAACATTATATCCCTTAAAATTCCATTGCACAGATTTATCATTTAATATTTGATACCCCCAGCCCAGACTAAGAAAAAAACTTTATAAAAAAAAAAAAAAACAAAAAAACATTACTCTTTTTGTTTAATTCTAAAATATTTAAATGCAAATACTGTAAGGCAAAACCCAGGAGGAAGAAAGAAAACAGCCATTGCTAAAATGTGGCAGAAGTGATGACAATAAAATGTGACCTGAGAATTTAACAGGCAAACAAAAACCTAAACATCCAAACTGCAGTTCCACCCACAGGGCACTTTATGGCTGCTTGGAAAAAGGGATGTGCACCTTCAACTTAACCAGATATAGCCTAAACTCAACAGATTCAGGAGAGGCCAGTGCTAACGCTCCCTGGAACAATCCCTCTACCAACCAAAATACTAATTTAACTGTGTCAGAAATATCAAATCATGCACCATGGGGGAAAAACAGCGTAGAATACAGTCAGACTATTTAACTAAGTTTACCCAGGGGGCAAAGTGCCGAAAATGGCGATCGTTGCGGGTCAAAAGCCCAAGCTTCAGCATAGAAAGATTACTAATACAACTGGCGGTGATCAGTGAGCTGCCTGCTAGGCCCGGAGGCCACCAGTTGAACAGACCAGGCACAGCGTTACTGGTTAACTTGGGGTATAGTGAATGAGATGCTTCCAACAAGATTAGTACAATGAACTTTAAAAGGTGAAATGGAATAGGCTAAATGCCAACACTTTGCAAAATATGTGCATGATACAGAAATGTCAAGAATCTGTTTAGTCTGAACACAGACTTGAGTGCTCCCAGACCAAGTGTCACGGATATGCTGGTGCAGCTTTCACAAAGACAAAGTCACAACAACCACATCGTGTGATCCGTCTCAGCTGGTGCATCTTTCACAAAGACAAAGTCACAACAACCGCATCGTGTGATCCATCTCAGCTGGTGCATCTTTCACAAAGACAAAGTCACAACAACCACATCGTGTGATCCATCTCAGCTAGTGCATCTTTCACAAAGACAAAGTCACAACAACCACATCGTGTGATCCACCTCAGCTGGTGCAGCGGAGCAGATCCAGACCCATGGAGTCCAAGTTGCAAGTGAAATGATTAACTCTATAAACAAGGTGGAGATAAAACTATGATTTCTGAGAAGGTAAAGGTGCTAAACTAGATCACATGGAACAGGAATCACGACCACCACCACTTCAAGCTGAGGGGTTGTTGGTGTTTCGATGTCTCAGACCCTCCTTCTTGTCCACTGTTGCTCCATCGCTGAAAACAGACAAACACAGTGAAATTTAACAATCAAGTAGACTTTTCTCACTGAAGTATGGAAAGCCTAGCATCCTGTGCCAGGCAAGGCTACACGGACCAAGCAGATATATCTATTACACAAACAAGATGACATACCAGGTTCTGAACCACAGCCTGCGCTGCCTAACCCCTGTGCTTGACAGTCAGTGTGGATAAGGAAAAAAGACATCCATATGAAGCCAGATAATTTACAATTCGAGTCAAAAGCTTAACTTGCAGAATCCTGTCCCACTAGACCTTCAGATGTTGTGTACTATGTGGACAACGGAAAAGCTCACAATCTGCAATTACGGTATTTAATAGTTCAGTCATCTGTCACATCTTCCCTTGAATAATCTTGGTTGACCACGTTCTTAGTGCACTTGTATCCAAGGGGAGACGCACACGCCATCTGAAGGTGACAGGTCCAATTCCTGGCACAGTAACTAAAGCTTTCGATTTTTATGTTATCTAGTGTGTCCTATCCTTCTACTTCTTTCTATGAGTGCCGATCAATACACTTTCTGTTTCTTGATTGGTTTTTTAAAAAAGTTATCACCACCACCACTGTTTTTCGAGATTAGATTTAGCATATGTACATTATATTAGTCAGTGCCTTTTCGACTGACTGACTCAATGTTAAATTCATGAAGTCCAATTCAAAGTTCCTTTATTGTTATTTTTCTGTCGTTGCTAGGTGCAAGCATGTTTGTTTGCAGCCATCCAACCAAAAGATAGGCTATGATTGGTTGATGGTTTCAGATTTCACAAAAAATATTCTGCCTCCCCCTCCCCAACAAGTTCAGTTAAAATATTAGAACTCTGAGCTGGTCATCTGTGCATTACTGTGACAGACATTACTTCTTAACTGCAGTCTTTTTCAAAATTGATAATTGTATTCCACTGTTGACACACAAGCAGATACCTCGGAGTACTAAAGTGAATCTTAGCATAACTATTTTTTGGCCAACACTATGTTATCAATGCCAGATGTGGAAACTTACATCCTCCAATGAACATAAAATTGTGACAACAGTGATGAAATGCCTTAGAAGAGCTGCAGGCGTTTCAAGGAAAGACAAAATCATGAAATCAGACGAATGCTAGGAATAAAGCCAGTCTTACAGGTCATCAAAGAACAACAAATTAAGTGGTTTGGACACCTAACAAGAATGCCCTTACTATCCGCCAAAGCGAGCCACACTAAAATAATACAATGGGTATAGAGCGAGTGGAAGACCTCGGAAAATATGGAGTGATGGCATTAAGAACAGCCTTACAGAAATGAACATCAGTCTTAATCAGTCTTGACAGAGCTCATCAACGAACATTACATCTCCCCCGACACTTCGATGAGGTAAAAGGTGGAAGAGAAGAAGAAGAAGAAGAAAATAATTGTATTCCACTATTCAAGTGCTGATCTGAGATGTGAAGTGTCAGTGTGAACATACTGTAGGCCTCAGCATGAGTGTTGGCTGAGCAGTTGCCTTACTCCTCAACTTGCCTTCTGTCATGTTATCCTTCCCTGCTGCAAACAATCTTTGCTGACTGCACACATACTTTATGGATCTTGCCTGTCACACAAATGCACAAATATTTTATGGATCTTGCCTGTCACACACATGCACAAATACTTTATGGATCTTGCCTGTCACACACATGCACAAATACTTTATGGATCTTGCCTGTCACACACATGCACAAATACTTTATGGATCTTGCCTGTCACACACATGCATACATCCTAAGTGAGTGGTAAACAATGGCAAGAGAAAACCACATTTGTTAACAGCCTTTCACTACAGCTGTGGACCTATCAATGCTCAAGTGAATCCATTCTGTTGCCAACATCAGTTGCTAGCCTACCTGACAGTCTAGATCAGCTGACATCAGATGCTAGCCTACCTGACAGTCTAGATCAGCTGGCATCAGATGCTAGCCTACCTGACAGTCTAGATCAGCTGGCATCAGTTGCTAGCCTACCTGACAGTCTAGATCAGCTGGCATCAGTTGCTAGCCTGTCTGACAGTCTAGATCAGCTGGCAACAGTTGCTAGCCTACCTGACAGTCTAGATCAGCTGGCATCAGTTGCTAGCCTACCTGACAGTCTAGATCAGCTGGCATCAGTTGCTAGCCTACCTGACAGTCTAGATCAGCTGGCATCAGTTGCTAGCCTACCTGACAGTCTAGATCAGCTGGCAACAGTTGCTAGCCTACCTGACAGTCTAGATCAGCTGGCAACAGTTGCTAGCCTACCTGACAGTCTAGATCAGCTGGCATCAGTTGCTAGCCTGTCTGACAGTCTAGATCAGCTGGCATCAGTTGCTAGCCTGTCTGACAGTCTAGATCAGCTGGCATCAGATGCTAGCCTGTCTGACAGTCTAGATCAGCTGGCATCAGATGCTAGCCTGTCTGACAGTCTAGATCAGCTGGCAACAGTTGCTAGCCTACCTGACAGTCTAGATCAGCTGGCATCAGATGCTAGCCTGTCTGACAGTCTAGATCAGCTGGCATCAGTTGCTAGCCTACCTGACAGTCTAGATCAGCTGGCATCAGTTGCTAGCCTACCTGACAGTCTAGATCAGCTGGCATCAGTTGCTAGCCTACCTGACAGTCTAGATCAGCTGGCATCAGTTGCTAGCCTACCTGACAGTCTAGATCAGCTGGCATCAGTTGCTAGCCTACCTGACAGTCTAGATCAGCTGGCAACAGTTGCTAGCCTGCCTGACAGTCTAGATCAGCTGGCAACAGTTGCTAGCCTGTCTGACAGTCTAGATCAGCTGGCAACAGTTGCTAGCCTACCTGACAGTCTAGATCAGCTGGCAACAGTTGCTAGCCTACCTGACAGTCTAGATCAGCTGGCAACAGATTGCTAGCCTACCTGACAGTCTAGATCAGCTGGCAACAGTTGCTAGCCTACCTGACAGTCTAGATCAGCTGGCATCAGTTGCTAGCCTACCTGACAGTCTAGATCAGCTGGCAACAGTTGCTAGCCTGTCTGACAGTCTGGATCAGCTGGCAACAGTTGCTAGCCTGTCTGACAGTCTAGATCAGCTGGCAACAGTTGCTAGCCTACCTGACAGTCTAGATCAGCTGGCAACAGTTGCTAGCCTACCTGACAGTCTAGATCAGCTGGCATCAGTTGCTAGCCTACCTGACAGTCTAGATCAGCTGGCATCAGTTGCTAGCCTACCTGACAGTCTAGATCAGCTGGCATCAGTTGCTAGCCCACCTGACAGTCTAGATCAGCTGGCAACAGTTGCTAGCCTACCTGACAGTCTAGATCAGCTGGCATCAGTTGCTAGCCTACCTGACAGTCTAGATCAGCTGGCATCAGTTGCTAGCCTGTCTGACAGTCTAGATCAGCTGGCATCAGTTGCTAGCCTGTCTGACAGTCTAGATCAGCTGGCATCAGTTGCTAGCCTACCTGACAGTCTAGATCAGCTGGCAACAGTTGCTAGCCTACCTGACAGTCTAGATCAGCTGGCAACAGTTGCTAGCCTGTCTGACAGTCTAGATCAGCTGGCAACAGTTGCTAGCCTACCTGACAGTCTAGATCAGCTGGCATCAGTTGCTAGCCTACCTGACAGTCTAGATCAGCTGGCATCAGTTGCTAGCCTACCTGACAGTCTAGATCAGCTGGCAACAGTTGCTAGCCTGTCTGACAGTCTAGATCAGCTGAGCAGCGCTTGCAAATCAGCAGTAAGCAGAAAAAAGACCAAGGAAACAGAGTAGTCCAACACAGAGAAATGTTAAGTTAACAAAATCAATGTAACTGCACAGTGGATTCTCACATATGTTCAGTCCAAGGTAACTCCTCTTGTGACAAGGAAGAAGACAAACATGCTTCCTTAGACAAAAGTAGAGCTAGATGCTTCTCTGTGACTCAAGTTCTTTCCACAAAACATTCACTGAATCCAAGTACAGTGCTTGTCTACTAAGACACAGACAGACACAAATGGAAGCTGAACTCACATGTTCTGGGCAGCATTGTCCTCCATCAGTACCTGCTTGCTTCTCCGTCTCTCATAAATAAAAATGATGATGCACAGGAGGACTACCTCGCCAACAATGCCCAGGAAAGGCCAAAGTGCAGCCAGTTTATCTAGAGGACACACACAAATGAAGGGAAGTAATCAATGAAGACTTCAGTGGCTGAGTTAATGTTTTCTGCTGAATGCTACCGTGAATAACCAAAAATCTAGAAATGGTGGCACTGTTATCCGCATCAACACTGTCATGGCTGATCCGGTCTCACTCTACCTGGACCAAATGACAGTAGTGTCAACACCATCATAGATAATCCTGTCTCACTGTCATCGGCGACCCTGTCTCACTGTCATGGGTGACCCTGTCTCACTGTCATGGGTGACCTTGTCTCACTGCCATGGGTGACCTTGTCTCACTGCCATGGGTGACCCTGCCTCACTGTCATGGGTGACCCTGTCTCACTGTCATGGGTGACCCTGTCTCACTGTCATGGGTGACCCTGTCTCACTGTCATGGGCGACCCTGTCTCACTGTCATGGGTGACCCTGTCTTACTGTCATGGGTGACCCTGTCTCACTGTCATGGGCGACCCTGTCTCACTGTCATGGGTGACCCTGTCTTACTGTCATGGGTGACCCTGTCTTACTGTCATAGGTGACCCTGTCTCACTGTCATGGGTGACCCTGTCTCACTGTACATGGACCGAATGGCAGCAGTGTCATCACCATCATGAGTGATCCTGTCTCAGTCTTGGGTGATCCTGTCTCACTGTCTTGGGTGACCCTGTCTCACTGTACATGGACCGAATGGCAGCAGTGTCATCACCATCATGAGTGATCCTGTCTCAGTCTTGGGTGATCGTGTCTCACTGTCTTGGGTGATCCTGTCTCACTGTCTTGGGTTATCCTGTCTCACTGTCATGGGTGATCCTGTCTCACTGTATCACTATCAAATGAATGTCTCCACTGTCTTAGGTGATCCCGTCACCCTGTCATGGGAGATCCTGTCTCACTGTCTTGAATGATCCTCTCACCCTGTATCACTATCAAATGAATGTCTCACTGTCATGGGTGATCCTGTCTTACTGTTATCACTATCAAATGAATGTCTCACTGTATCACTATCAAATGAATGTCTCACTGTCTTGGGTGATCCTGTCTCACTTTTAAATAAATGTCTCACTGTCTTGGGTGATCCTGTCTCACTTTTAAATAAATGTCTCACTGTCGTGGGTGATCCTGTCTCACTGTCATGGGTGATCCTGTCTCACTGTTATGGGTGATCCTGTCTCACTGTATCACTTTCAAATGAATGTCTGTCATGGGTGATCCTGTCTCACTGTCATAGGTGATGTCTCACTGTCATGGGTGATCCCATTTCCGGGTATCTGGACCAAATCAACCCAAATGAGAAGCAGGACTAGTCAACCCTCAGAAGACAATCCTCAATGAGAAAATTAATGTTGCAGAACATACAACTGTATAAAAGACTAGTTATAATAACCTTCGTGATGGCTATCAGGCATGATGGATATTTTCACTAAGAGTTGGCTTCATTCTTCCAACAAGAAAGGTTATTTATTATATCTAGTCTTTTATACAGTTGTTGTATGTTCTATATGTATCAACATCCTAACAAACATCAATGTGACCTAAAGCATCAATGATAGCAGATGCTAGAGAATCCCTTCCACAAGCCAAAAGTGGCACTGGCTAATTAATGATATTGGTTTACAGAATGCAGACAGTATCTTTGAGGCTGAGTGAGACACAGAGGTGAAGTGTCAATCAACAGTGGGCTGCTACATCCCTCAAGTTACACCCTCACATTTATAAGCCAGCAGCAGAAGCGCCGAAAATGTGTCTGAATTGGTTAATGAAACCGCAGGATAAATATTATCTTAAAATCCTAGGAAACACAGAATCCAGTAATCACAGCTAATTTTACTGCAATATTGCTTTATACATAGGCAAACCAAACTAAACCACAGAAAGTTTTAAAATTATTCTGTGCAGCATTTTCAACTACATTTTTTTCTTCATCTTAGCAACATAAAACTAGAAATAGTGGCTATAGTAAATGACTGACCTACGAATGGAGGCACAGAAACCGCCAAAAATAGGCTGGGACAGTTCATAAAAATAAATGATCCATCAACAGGTAGACAGTTCAGACTGACAAACATACATGGCCAGTCAATAGTTGGACAGAAATATGTCAAAACCTACTAGCCAATGATTTAGTCAGAACTGGAACTCTTCGCTTGCTGATAAAGATGGGGGATGAAGCGCTTATGGGAGTGTCCCCCCGAGTGCTGTAAAGTAGGTTCTTAATTCAACGCTGTAACACTGCATTTGTGTCACCATTAACTAACACAAAAACATAGTATTAAAGCATTAGTGAGAAAAATCTCCATACCTTTGATTCTGATTCGGATTCTCTTGGAGGAGGTCTCATTTGGAAAATATGAAGAGTAGGCCTCGCACATATAATCTCCAGCATCATCGTAATTGACACGCCTGACGAACAAGCGTGCATTCTTATGCCCATGCAGCTCTCGCAAAGTGACACGGTTATCATCACCTGTAGAGGCATTCACAATGCTAGTGTCTTTGTACCAGGTAACCACAGCATACGGGTAACCCTTGACAACACAGTGTAGCTCCATGTCATCTCCTTCTATGAGGTTCTTGGACTTTTCAAAATCCAGCACCAAAGGTCCAGCTAAATTGTTGCAGAAGAATAGATAAAAGACACAATATAAGATATACCTCCAACAGCAACAACTTTAACCGTGTTGACAAACAACAAGTTCATGAAACAGTTACTAAAAGTTGTTTATAAAACACTGGATATAATTTGAGGGCTTCGCTTAAGATAGTTAATGAAAATATTTTTCTGTGTCCAGGCTTAAAATATGAAGAGAGATAACAGGGAAATAATGTTCTGTCAAATTTATTCTTCAAGGGATGTGAACAAAATATGTAGGTACTCATGGGAAATAGCTCGAGTGAATGTTAACTTTTAGTGACTCTACCATTTTACCACGCGGCGTGGGGCACTTGGCAGTGGCAATAGCCGCCGGAAAACCACAAATTAAGTCTTTTGACTGTGGCTCGAAAGGATATTTTGCTGCCGCCATCTTTACCGACCGTTAGTCGGAGGATAGCCGCATAGCTCATGATATACTTACACAACATAAGCAGATTATCGCTCTTTACATTATAAGCTTATAGGATAATGGCTAATTATATTCCCAAATAAATAGGATGGTTTGTAATGATTTTTCAAAACCGTTTGGTGGTTCACTTTACAGTTATGTCAACAAGATGAGGATTTCATGTATATCTATATGAATAAGACCACTGTGACTCATTACATTAAAAAAATCTATATAAGGGGATGGCAGCACTAATCAATAACCAAACCAATAAGTGTGATTAATACAATCAATCAGTGCTGATGGCATATTGTCTCCTTGGTGTGCTGACTGGCTGCTAGGGGTTTTGCATTTATAAGACATAGATGACATACTGAATGCACATTGGTAACGAGTAGATAATATCCGGTTATATTCTTTATTATACTTTCGCAGGTGAACTGGTCCAGTCAATGTCTATTTTTAGCTAGCAGGTCCAACAAGAGATGATGACATTTATCAAACACATTCTTGACATCTACCCACTTTCAAATTTGTTACCTGTCAGCCCTGTTTCACTACACACACAATAGTTCTTCTTCACTTCCTCTTTTACCGCTGTGGGTGTCGAGGGAGATATAAGGTTCTGTTTCTAGCTCTTCTGGCCGCCTCGACCATAGGCACATCGTGCTGTTGTAGAGTTTCTCTGATGTTATCCTTTCTTCTTGTTCTTGGTCTACCTCATGCTCTACGTCCAACTTCTCTTTCCATGTATGCTTTGTATAGTATGGTGTCACAAGGCATTCTCTCTAAGTGGGCAAACCATTTAACTTGCTGTCTTCGTATGTAATCCAGAATTGGTTCTGTGCCGACTTTTTCTCTTATGATCTCATTCCTGATCTTATCTCTTATGGTCACTCCTACAGCCCTTCTCAGTCATCTCATTTCCGTGGTTACTAATTTTCTTTTATGGTTTGTTGTGAGTGACCATGTCTGGCACTGGTAGCACAGAGTTGGAATAAATATGCTTTGAATTAGATATCTGTGCTGATTGGGATTGTCTTAGTCAACACAATTAGGCCAACATCACGATGTACATCAGTCAACACAATTAGGCCAACATCACGATGTACAACAGTCAACACAATTAGGCCAACATCACGATGTACAACAGTCAACACAATTAGGCCAACATCACGATGTACATCAGTCAACACAATTAGGCCAACATCACGATGTACATCAGTCAACACAATTAGGCCAACATCACGATGTACATCAGTCAACACAATTAGACCAACATCACGATGTACATCAGTCAACACAATTAAGCCAACATCATGATGTACACCAGTCAACACAATTAGGCCAACATCACGATGTACATCAGTCAACACAATTAGGCCAACATCATGATGTACATCAGTCAACACAATTAGGCCAACATCACGATGTACATCAGTCAACACAATTAAGCCCACATCACGATGTACATCAGTCAACACAATTAGGCCCACATCACGATGTACATCAGTCAACACAATTAGGCCAACATCACGATGTACAACATTCAACACAATTAGGGCTTACCCCGGAAGTGAACATGGCATTCATAAGGGTGAGACCTGCCAGGGATAGAAAACTTGGCAACATAGAGACCAGCATCCTCTCTGGCTGTAACAAAAGTCATACTTTCGGTTACACATGAGACACTTTAACTTTAATTATATATTTGTTTATATATCATCACTTCTGCCGTTAAGCTTCATGGGGAGGAACAATCTGCATTCCTGCACATTGTGAAGGTGTAAAGTGCCCAACGTCCAGTGCACATTGTGAAGATGTAAAGTGTCTAATGTCCAGTGCACACTGTGAAGGTGTAGTGTCCAACGTGCAGTGCACATTGTGAAGGTGTAAAGTGTCTAATGTTCAGTGCACATTGTAAAGGTGTAAAGTGTCTAACGTTCAGTGCACATTGCGAAGGTGTAGTGTCTAACGTCCAGTGCACATTGTGAAGGTGTAGTGTCCAACGTCCAGTGCACATTGTGAAGGTGTAGTGTCCAACATCCAGTGCACATTGTGAAGGTGTAGTGTCCAACGTCCAGTGCACATTGTGAAGGTGTAGTGTCCAACATCCAGTGCACATTGTGAAGGTGTAAAGTGTCTAATGTCCAGTGCATATTGTGAAGATGTAAAGTGTCCAACGTCCAGTGCACATTGTGAAGGTGTAAACTGTCTTTTACGTTTTATATTCAGACTTTTCGTGGCTGTCCTCCTGCTCTTGTAGCTGATCTTCTAAGATGTAGTGCCTATGATATTTGATGATGCTGCATTTTCAAGAGATGACCTAACCCCCTGATCTGCTGTTTCTCAATAAAACTTGTACAATATCATTCCCACAATCTGTCTGATAGTATAATTTTTTACCTGATCTCGGATAGTTGGGTTGGCAGATTTTTTCTGACATCTTATCACGCAATTGGTGATTCTGCATACACTGGCCTTAGATAATGTCAATGTTTGACACTGACGGTCAATGTTGGAATAAATATGCTATTTATGATCTGTTTCTTTGAACTCACAGTTAAGTTTTAACATTTTAATAATGGTGGCAATTGGTATATAAATGCATATTTATGTAATGTGTGTGTGTGTGTGTGTGTATATATATATATATATATATATATATATATATATATATATATATATATATATATATATATATATATATATATATATATATATATATATATATATATATATATACACACACACACGTGGGTAAATAAGGAAAAAAAAGGAAAGACAATTATATTTTTTTGCAGGAATAAACGAAGACAAGGTGTGTCCAATGTCACCAGGTGTATATTTCGAGTGATGTGTAAGTAGGAGTGTCCATCAATACCCCATTCAGTATCACAATGCAGACAGGTCAAATATATGCACATACCACTCCACAAAGGCACCATCAAGGAATAGTGTACCATAGTGTATTTCTATAGTTGGAGGGAGTCACCCTGACAGACATCCACTGTTGGCTGTTAGTGCCGGAGGGAACAATCACCAAGCTCAATTAAAAGTCTGTGGGTGTGTGGACCGCACAAATCTGTTGAGTCTACTATGTCAACTGACATTGATAACACAAAGACAAGATAGAAATTGTATCAACATACTTGGCTTCTGGATGATAAGAGAATTGTTTGCATCCACTATTGTGAAACGATGGCTGTCTTTCCTGCTAGTAACGAGGTTTTCATTCTTGTACCAATTAATGGAACGATCAGAATTTTGGTTCATTCCCATTTCAATGTCACACGACAACGTAGCCGTCTTCATTCCAAGCACAAATATTGGCTCCGATTTTTCCTCTAAATTGAAAAAAAAAAAAAGCAATAAGTTAAAAATATTATCATGACACCCCCATCCAACATTTTTTTTGTACACACACAAAAATCTGAACTGTTAATCTGACCTGTTTCTTCATTTGCCCACAGCCATGACAATGAGCAGCAGAAAGCTCTGTGTCAGACATCAAACTGAACATAATAATAACAATAAACAGGTTTCACAAACGAGGCAGTCCAATGGCCGAAACTGGGCAGGGAGGTAGCAGAACCAGGTGGGGTTAGCAGTTGCCTTCTCAGACAATTCTGAACACTGTCTACAACCAGTATTTTCATGCTTGGTCAACCCTAGAGCTGCACTAGTCAAGGAAAAAAATCCTGCCCCTGCTAGGGATTCAAACCCAGACCAGCCATGGCAGGCAAGCCCTTTAAGCACAAAACCATGTTGGCTCCACTGAGATTTACATAGCTCTAGCAAAGTTTGTTAAACACAAATCTGGTAATAAGATTTCCAGATAGCTCAGAAACTGAACGTTTCTACATTTCTTGTCACTATATAAGGCATACATCACAAGAGGAGAAGGGTTGCACAGCCTGAGGTAGACCAAGAAAGTAAAAGAAAAAAGGGAAAGATCATAGAAACTGCAACAGTCTATGGTTGAGGCGCCCAGAGAAGCCAGAATCTTGTATCTCTCTTGACATCACAAGTAGCTCAAGTGCAAGTGTAGAAGAAGGCTATCATTTACCTGTTGTCTCTAACTCAATATACTAATATACCATGCACCACATTTCAAACAACAAATATTATCTACACCATTAAACTTATTTCCTTTGATATATTTTCAATGTCACTTAAATTTCTTTATGAATGCTATATTTTACTCCTTCGTTTCAGCCTAAAAACCACCTTAAAAAACACTTGAATGCTGCTGATTAGATCTTTTTTTGTCAATATCTGCTTATGCCGCTAAGTGTCGCAGTTCATCAGACGATTGGCAGCCCAGCAAGGGCGCGCTCAGTTGCTTGATATGCCATGATGTTATGAGGTCGCAAGGTGTCAGTGACTCCTTCCATCCATTTTCTTCTTGGTCTTCCCCTGCCTCTTGACGATTTGATTTTCAAGTTAACACTCTTGCTGCTGGCATCGTTGGTTTTATTCTCAACAGATGGCTAAACCATTTCATTCTTTGTTTCTCAATCAATCTGACGATGGGTGTTTTTCCAACAGTTCTTGTGATCACGTCGTTTCTCACTCATCTCTTCTGGTTTTATTCACAGCCATACTCCAACATCTCATCTCACAGGCGTTCAGTTTTCTTTGGTGTTCATTTGTCAACGTCAAAGTCTGACATTGGTAGCCTAAAGTCGGTTTAAATACTGTATTCATAATGTGTCGTGTTGTCTCTCTTGGGATAGCAGGGGGTTTTAAAATTGGAGCAAGTAGGTTCATGACATTGTTGGCTTCTTGTTTCTATCTCTCTCTCTATTTTACCATTGTGTGTAAAGATGCTTCCTAAGTAAATTCTTGCACTTGTTTCAGACTCTAATTTTTGATCTTTACGTTGATGGTTTGTTGCTCTCATGACTTCTGTTCTTTTTCAATATTGATCTTCATGTAATTTTAAAGGAAACAGTCGTGTAATTGGTTTATGTGGTCCTGCAGGAGCAGCTCACTGAAGTCCTCCTGTTCATCAACATCTGGTGGTGGTGTTTATTTTATTAATACTAATACTGTCCATGAATATTATAAAAAGTAAAGATGCAAGAACCCACTTTTGCCTTACTCCTGATGTTACTGGGAACTAGTCTGTGAGGCCAGTTCTTGTTCTTACGGCGTCTTCACTTTTTCTATAAATAGCCCTTACACAATCTAGCACTGTTCCATTTATACCATAGTCTTCAAGGACATCCCATAGTAAATCTATGTTCACTCTGTCATCGCTAATTTGCCTTAGGGAGAAAATAGCATCAGTGCACCCTCTTTCGACATCACAGCACTCGCGGTATTCCCATTAGCCCTCCGTCCCCATATACAGCAGCAGCCAGCAAAGAGTTCCAATACTAATGGTGACAGTAGCATTCTGATTAAACGTCCGTCTTGCCTTTCCTCTGAGCCTCGAATATCTGTCAGAACCTCTCGTCAATCCCCCCTGCATCAATCTCACCAGACTGTGGTGATCCATCTGCTCCTCCGAACTGTTCAGGCTCTCCCACAAGGCACCAACCATGTGTGCCTTATCATGCATCAGTATTCCACCAAGCTGTGCAGAGCCAGCCAGTCTGTCCGCCTGTTTATTTTCCAACACACCCCGGCGAAAAAATCCAGACAATACTCCTCACTCGTGTCCTCCGCAGCGAAGCATGCCACTCTGCATGAGGCATCCCTGTCCTGATTTTCCTCAGCATGCTTTCTGAGTCAGTTACAATCAATTCTACCACAGATCTAATTTGTTGATCCAGAATCCTGGCAAAGATTTTACCTAAGTGGCTTAAAAAGGAGATGCCTCTATAAGTGTTACAATCTTGCTTATTGCCCCCCCACCCCCCCCCCCCCCCCCCCCACATCGGCACTATATTGGCTCTTTGACTTATCCTTGTTTAATACCCAATTCCAACAAGTGGTTCATCATTTTTGAATCTTTTGTCTCAACATCTCACGAAAGCAGTGCATCCATTATTTTGCCCTGTTCATAATACTTCACCTGCCCTCTTCCCTATCCATACTTCTTCACCTACCCTCTGCCCTGTGCATACTTCTTCACCTACCCTCTGCCCTGTCCATACTACTTCACCTACCCTCTACCCTGTCCATACTACTTCACCTACCCTCTGCCCTGTTCATACTACTTCACCTACCCTCTGCCCTGTCCATACTACTTCACCTACCCTCTGCCGTGTCCATACTTCTTCACCTACCCTCTTCCCTGTCCATAATACTTCATCTACTCTCTGCCCTGTCCATACTACTTCACCTACTCTCTGCCCTGTCCATACTACTTCACCTACCCTCTGCCCTGTCCATACTTCTTCAACTACCCTCTGCCCTGTTCAAATGGGGGCGATCATGTGAGCAGCTCTTCTCATCCAGGAAAGCTCTCAGCTTCAATACACTAGCTCCAAAAACTAAAAAGTAAAGAAAGCTACTAAGCGACTTATTAAATCAGACCAGACACAAGTTGTAAAAGTGACTACAAACAAACACACATTACCCACAAACAACATCTACAAACTAGAATCACCTTTCACAGCCTTCAGATGAATGACTGCCTCACTGATTAGTTCCCCCTCTCTCTCCAAGCTGCACTTGTAATCACCAGCATTGACATCGGTGAAATGATCTATCCTTAAGCTGCTGTGCAATGTGATTTTGTTGTCAATAACTGTAGTTTCCGCTTTTCGAGTGACTCCATCCATAGTTGGTGCAGTCCACAGTAATTTGGCATTCTGTTCAGTGGTATTCACTGAACAATTCAATTCTTGTGTGGCACCGATTCTCAACAAATAATTTGTATAGACTGGCTTTATTTCTAGAACATTGTCTGAAAAAAAACAAAAGTTTAAAATTAAAACAATGAATTAATATAAAAAGCAGACATACTTCAGAGATACTGTGGGTTTAGTGGCCTTCTTATTTTACCTCCCAATGGAGCACAGGCACTCAACCACCTATTCCTGACTGTCCCTTGAAATTCTCTTTTTTGTCGTCCCTATAATATTTATCCGTGTCTCTCTCTTCTCTGTGCATTTGAGGTATCTATTTCTGTTGGCCTACAGGTTCCAGAGAAATGCTTTACTAGCTTCTGTCAGATGTTCTTAATGTTTTATCCAGTATGAGCTTGTCTTCTTCACCTGTCTATATGCTGAAATATGTTTCTCTTAGAGCTCCACACTGGTGATAACAGTTCAGTAACATATGACACTCATTGGCCCCCCCTCCCCCCAGTACATATGCATACTACAAGGAAGCCCAATAAGTCAGTCAACAATGGTTGTGGGATGGCAGGAAAATGTACCTGGTCGTATCTAAAGGTGTCATTAGGTGACAGCAACATCAAAGCTGTTCATTAGGTGGTGCTGGGTGTTGCATGCACATTTGCAACACAGAAACAAAATGGTGACTGTACTTTTAAAGTGTACCCTCAACAACAAAAAAAAAAAAAAAGGGCTGTTGCGAGTTGGGGGAAGGGCTTAATTGTGTGCCCAGACAACTGACGGGTGAACACAAATGAACTGATTAGGCACAGAGCATGCCGCTCTATGCAGTAGGTTTGGGAGGGCGGATAAAACGATGGGACATTTGTATTCATGTGTATGTGTTTAAAAAAAATGGTTTCAAACTTGTTAGTAACTTTCCTTTTTTTAATTTTTGTATACAATCATTTGTGTCTTACTTTCTGACTTTCCCTGGTAAATTAAGACAGCAAAAGAAGTATATCTTAGCAATGACATTTGCTGAAAAAATCAACATGATAACAAATGAGTTCATGTTCATCATCGGACCTTGAATCTTCTTCTTCTTCGCATTCACTGGCTGTAAACTCCAGTGGAAAGTTCTAGTACTTTGTCCACCTCTGTACTTTAGTCTGGTTCCAGAACATGAGCGTTGCATGCACATCAGTTCTACAGTTCTGACTTATTTGTATGCAGATTGTTGGTACCTTGCCTCTAAGGCAGATGCACTCCGACTCTGAAGGAAGTCCCCAGTTAGTTGACTCTTACAACATGTTTGCTGGGGAGGCAATAAGTTTGCTCTTGTTTTCCCCATAATGGGGCCCAAAGAACCGACACAGGGAATTGAACCTCCAATTAATAATTTGTTTCCTTATGGAGACAGTTGTGTCATCTGGCTGCTGACCTACTACGACATTAGAGGCGGATGATTGAGGTAATCTTTCAAATAAACTACTAAAGGAAAGACAATGCTGAAGTTATCGCAATAAGTGACGCTTTCTTTGGCAAAAGATTCCCTCACAGCAAGAAATAACAGTTGCTAGCATTACACCTATACAACAGCAATACGGACACCAAACAACATCCAGAATCATTTCAATCTCTCCACTTCCCTCATGTGTATTCTATTGACCCAAATAATTTCTACTATAGTAAGTCAAATGATTGAACAAACAAACGTAAAATGCACAATGATAGGCTCAAAAGTAAAAGGTAATGTTTTTTTAGCAGCTGCATTACAATTTTAAAAAGTGGTCACACATATAAAAATAAATGCAGTGGATATGGCTAAAATATTCAGTAGCTAAAAAAAAAAAACCTGCAAATTTACAACAAAATACAATCACAGCTTTTTTTCCCTGGTGCCCACTACTGGCTGCGTGGTATGGCATCCGCCTCGAGTGCTGGAGGTCCCGGGTTCAGGCCTCAGTGAAGGTTGGGCTTTTACACGTGGACTTCTAGCAATTTCTTGTGATCATGTGATCTCTGGGTAGTAAGATCGGACGCTCCTGTTCATTGTTGCGCATGTAAAAGAATCCCTTGGCAGTTGGAAATTAAAAAAGCGTGGACTAACAATGCTGCCAGGATCAAATTCGGAGTTCGTGCACTGCGGTGAATTTTTCAGACTCAGACTGAGGCTTGAGTTAGAATGTGTTGATCTAATGACTAATGTTTAAACCAAAACTTACTGGCACCTTTTTTGAGACATTTTATTAATTAGCGCTACTACGTGAGGGGCATTATAAATATTATCTGGTAACGGCACCTATTTTTGACAATTTATAGTGAGTACCGGCACCTTTTTTTTTCTATATAAAAAGAGCCGTGCTTATAATAACACAAAACATCAATTATATACAATCACAATAATGCAAGGAATATTCTCAAACGGCCACAGAGTCACAGACCTGAGACATGGCAGGTCTGGTCTGGATGGCTGGCTCTGGGAGAACTGATCCTGATCGATTTTCTAAATTCAGTTTTTAAGTAATTATTATCTGAAGCTTTAACTTTTAGACCAAGACGGCACCTATTAAACAAAAGATGAAATCAAACAGAAGATTGCCGATCAACAATCAATAACCAACCATTTTAATTCTCAATCTTGAATCTGATGATCATGATCAGATCAGATCATCGGCCTATATAATATAATTCATGATCGTTTCTTGATCTTGCTCATTTTAACATCTTTGTTACAAAAGGCACCGTCCTCGTTCTATGAACAATGATTAAATTACTGGTTATTTATTTACCTATAGAAGCAGCCGGGGCGGCAACAAACGCCGAAAACACCGTTAGAAAAGCCAGTAACCGCTCCATTCTCGGACCGTCTCTTCTCTCCTGGATGTTGAAAGACAAAACCAAAATGGCGCATGTGTCTATATTAAGCAATGACCCAGATTTCTATTGTCTGTTTCAGACAAAACACTAGCGCTCACTCTGGTAAATTACCTTCTGCTCCTTCTACTTATACTCTTCCTCTAGTTATCTATCTCATCTTAGTGTTGAAGGGAGATGTTAAGATATTCTGTGTACTCTTTATGATGCGTTGTATAAGTTAATCTTTTTTTCTGTAAGGCTGTTCTTGAGATAATCAACACAATGAAATGTATATCTTTCAATATTCATTGCTTTTAATAGTGGCATCAGAAACCAGGAAGAAAGATTGAATCCACTGCAATATCATATCCACATAAACAAGATTATTTGTGCTGATAAGCAGAATCAAGGATCAATTCTGCGCAGCAAAGAGGCAGTTTTTGCTATGGTAGTAAGCTACTCACCTGCTGGCTTACTGTAAAAAAAAAATTCAGCATGTGACATGTTTTTCAATATTCTATGAACTGCGTTATGTTGAAAACAAAAATGGGGGTGGGGGGGGGGGGGTGTTGAACACTTTGTTAATCTGCTTACACCAACAATTTAAACAGTGATCTGATGTTGGCAAAATAGGTATGCGACAAATGATACGCCTAATCAATCAATACATTTTATTATATTTTTTACACTGGCACCATCATCATTGTTCTTCCTCCTCGCCTTCGCTGGTGTACTTTCATTGTCTACACATGACACCGTTTCTACTTTAATAAAGATAGACAGACAGAAGGGGGAGGGAGGGGGGACAGAAAGAAAGAGGGAAGGCTAAAAAATATGAAAGAGAATTGGAGAGAAGGGATGGGGAAGGGGCCTAAAACCGAAGATCAGACCAATCTTAATCAAAATCCATTGAGATAAAGGGTGAGAGACAGACATGGGAGAAAGAGAGAGAGAGAGGATAGAGAGAGAAAAAGCAACTGTAGCCGTTTGGACGACTGCTATCTTACCAATAACAAGTTGTCAAGTTCGGAACTCAAACTGGTGTTAAAGTGCGATAGAAGTTTATTCTGTTGCATGCGTCAAAAAACATAGTCGTCAAAAAGGTGTGTGAAGGAAAGCCACCCGGGATAGGAAATGCAGCTCTGAAGTAAAGGAAAATAATATTGGTTGGACGGACAGAAATACAAAACAGCTAATTGATCAGAGGGAATATGCCCCAATAGTTCCAAGAGTCTCTCTCTCTCTCTCTCTCTCTCTCTCTCTCTCTCTTTCTGTGTATGTGTGCGTGTGTATGTGAGGGCGTATGTTGTGTTGTATGCGTGCCGCAGCAATCCTGCACCCCACCCTGTGTTCTGACAAACATAATTGAAAAATATATCGGCAAAGAACTAGGAAAAGACAATGGTGTAAATACGTGAATGACAAGAACCCAGACTTTATCCAGTACTCTAGGGATCGTGTGAAACGAGGAATAGTGACTGTCCACTTTATCGACATAGCATAAGACGATGATAATGATGATGATGATGATAACTGCGATGACAGCGTGAAATCGACAGTAAAATTTACCCATGCTTACTTTAGCCCACTGTCTCTTACTCAGTGGTTGTAAAGAAGTACAGTCGACAACTGCAGCCCGAAAGGCAGTCAAAGTGGAAAGCGACTAATTTGTTCAATACTTGCCAAATCTGGAGCCGGTACCGCCATTCCCACACTTTCAATCGTTCTGGTATTGATTAGTTCACCGCTGGTGAACTTTTCGGCCAAAAGGAGGGAACATGCCGAGTTTTCCACAGAATGGCTTCTGCAGAACAATGTGTGCTTTATTGATGACAGTCTATTTTTTGTGTGAGCACAGCTCAAGTTATTTACAAATTGGGATTTCGCAGAAACTGGTCTCAGTCTCCCGGTTGATGTGGCCCACTAGGGACATTTTGGGATGCAAAAGCTGCTGCTAATGCTATTGCATGTACTGCAATTACTATTTCTTTTCTCCTTCTTCTTCTTCTTCTTCTTCTTCTTCTTCTTCTTCTTCTACTTCTTCTACTTCAGCACCACCACCACCACCACCACCACCACCATCATCATCATCATCATCATCATCATCATCATCATCATCATCATCATCATCATCATCATCATCATCATGTGCTTTGCATGGACCCTTATGTCTCTCCAAATCTGAGATCAACAGCATGTATCAGTTGGTATCCTGACACCCCTCCATGCCCCAACAAAAGGCTGTTCCTGGTGAGTTGTTTTGTGTTGAACCAACCTGGTCATTCTGGCCATACCAGTGCAGAAGAGTTGTGCTTAGTCAATTCCCGAGTTCCGGCCCTTGGCATTCAAAGGATATTTAGTCTTGGGCCAGACGCATCTCTTCATTCCATTGTCAAGACACCAACGTGGCTGCTTCAGAATACGTCATTTGAATGAATTTTGTGTATTCGTGTGGTTTTGTTTATGTGTGTTCTGATGACGGGTCTGTAGCGGCAACGTTCACTTGTCGTTTGTGAAGCTGGCTAATCTACTTTTCGTTCGATTTTTCTATTTTTCCATACTCTTGACCAAGAGGCCTAAACAGATGAGGTACTGCACTTTGATCTTAACCTTATTTTTATTATTAGGGTTAGGGATATTGTTGCTGAAGGGTCAGTTTTCTCTCTAAGACAACCATATTATATTCATACACCACTCATAACACTTTTTAACAAAGCTGACTTCTTAATTTGTATATATCTTCGTACACATACGTTTAAATGTAAAATACCTCGGTGAAACAGCCTTGCGTTTACAAATACATTTCAGCAACGTCTGGCTCACACCCGCTGAAACACTCATCAATCAGATTCTGTCAATTTACACAAACATCAATCATTCCACGGCGTCTGATATTCGGATGACGGCTGTGTGAATTGGTCGCATCATGGAAGCAGGAAGACACCAACGCAACGACTGCATTTTATTTTCGAAGGGTTACACAAACTGGGCACTCAGATCATTATGCATACTCACCGTGTGGGTTCCGGGGCCCCACTGTGGGAGAAGAAGAACAGACTCATTGCACCCCCCCCCCCCAATCAAGTATTCATAGGAGTCGACTAAGTGGTGACGTCCTTCGAAGTCGAACTACATCTGCCTGCGTGGTAAGGAACCAGTAGGCCAGATTTGTGAAAGGATGTGCACACAACACTCAGGCTGTGGAACGGATGTGCACACAACACTCAGGCTGTGTAAACGGATGTGCACACAACACTCATGCTTTGGAACGGACGTGCACACAACACTCGGGCTGTGGAACAGATGTGCACACAACACTCAGGCTGTGGAACAAAACTAAAGCCCAGAGTTAGACGAACACCCAAAATTTTACGCAAGAGTTACAGCCGAAGAATGGAAATGTCGCACAGCTCTCTTCTTTGTTGCGTACGTTGACGTCACACCCAGGTTCGTCTTTAGGTTTGCTACAGGAGGAGTCAATTGAAAGAGTATAGACGAGGAGAAAAATGGTAGTGTCGATAGTGGTGGTGATGATGATGATGATATCTCGCTTGCTACATGCTTCTCAGGTGACTCTGATGCTTGCATAATAAGGTGTCTGGAAACAACGGTTCTTGTGTATACTGTCTTCATTGTGATACTTCAGCAATGACACAAACAATATCAATAATATTCTAAAAAGCCGCTGCTTTAGCTCTGTGGTTACACACTCGTAGGTTCGCGTTGTGTTCCTTATCTCTAGTTACTTTGATTCTAGTGTCTGTAACTGCCACCTGGTTTCTAGTGCTTTCTAGTACTAACGGCTTCATCGTCGACTCTAAAATCTCAACAGTGTTCCTACCTAATGTGTCGCTATTAACCATGGATCCATGTATCTTGTCTGTTGTCTCTGTAGCTCGATGTCGAGTTTCACGTCTCGCATCTAGTGTCTGTCTTCGAGGCTCTATGTGACTGGCTTCTCTCCTTCTAGTGTTGAGCTGGTATCTCTAAAACTGTGATAGCTCTATGAGGGTCTATGTTACTAGTCCCTCGTCTTTTAAGTCTAATCGACTGAAGGCATGCTCCGAGGATACATATGACTGGTCCCTCCTCTCTTGAGTCTTGTGGACTGAAGAATTACCCTAGTGACTTCTCACTCATTATTTATACTTGGATGCTGGAATGCTAGTTATTTGTTTTCTCCTCCCTTTTTCAGCTTCTAGAATATTCTACTGTCTCAACATGTTTACTATGTGCGTTCTCACGTGGGATTTTCTAATAATATCTCGATTGCATCCGATTTCATGATCCCATTCTGCGCAAATACAGTAGTTAAGTTGACAGTTCACGTCATAGGGACTCCTTTCAAGAAATAAAAAAAAAGTACTTCACTCTGAAAGGGCACGTCAACATTGACGTCAAATACTATTTACAGAATATTATCGTTAAGAGCTGTTTTCTTTCTTCTCATCAGATAGTACGCAAAATTATATCACCTGTCATGTTAGTGATGACGTCAATTTTTAGTTTTGGCGGGAAGAGAAGGTTACCATTGACCTCGGTACATCCCGGCTCTGCGCCATATACTAACTCCTAACAAACAAGCGATGAAGTCTCCCTGTTACAGAAAGTAAGAAGCAGCAAGCAACTTAATTAACAGTACTACTATCACGAGGGATAATGAGAGAGAGAGAGAGAGAGAGAGAGAGAGAAAAAGAGAGAGAAAAAGAGAGAGAGAGAGAGAGAGAGAGAGAGAGAGAGAGAGAGAGAGAGAGAGAGAGAGAGAGAGAGAGAGAGAGAGAGAGAGAGAGAGAGAGAGAGAGAGAGAGAGAGAGAGAGAGAGAGAGAGAGAGAGAGAGAGAGAGAGAGAGAGAGAGAGAGAGAGAGAGAGAGAGAGAGAGAGAGAGAGAGAGGGCAGTCGGAGATGAGTGAAGACAGGGAACATTTGCAAAAATCAACATTAAGAACTCGGAATGTTGGAGAAAAAGAAAAAGATGAAATGAACGTGACACATAGTAAAA